AAGTTTAAAATTGTTCTAAAATAAAAATTTGATTTAAAAAGTTAAAATACATATCTTATTTTAATCTAAAATGCCACCCTGGGGTTCAGCTGATTTGTATTCTGGAGTGAATTATTCAACACACAGGCAAATATTCTCTTAACTCAGGGAGCTGCAGGGTCACTGTGCTATGTATGTGAATCTTGCAACTCAGAGAACTAGCTACCTGGGAAGATTTTCTCCTTCAGCAACTTTAAAAGGTGGCATTGACAGAGAAGATCTTCGTTTCTCTCAGCAAGAGAGAAGTGAAAATGACCGAAAAGAGAGGGTCCTATGAGCACGAAAAAAATAGAGTTGGACCAAGAGGCTCAGGGAGGCTCTCTGCCAAAGGCAGAGGAAAGAATAGTCCCCTCCCTTCTCTACTCTCTGCTCTACGCGAATTCTGGCTGGTTGCTCAAGTGGGCTGTACCTTCCTATGGGTACAGCAGTGATTTTAGAGGTCATTAGGGTCTCCTACTCTGTGATTCTCAGGATGAAATCTGGGAATGAGAGTGGCAGTCTGCATTTGAGAGGCCATCCTGGAAAAGTGAGAGAAGAGGCCACAAGATAGTGTGGTGTATTGGCACTGTCATCATTAAGGTGTACCTCAAGTACTGCTTCACATTTCCCAGGAAAACATATTATCCAAACAGGTAAAATTCTGATGACTCTTCTAAAGATGACTGTCTTATCTGTGTCAGGTAAATCATTTCCTCTGACCTGTCTGGGGAGGGATTCTATTTGGTATCCTCATGTCCATATCAGAACTATATTAATATTTTTGCACAAAACCAATGTGTTTTATACATTCATTGAGGCTACAGTAATGTATTCTGGAGGATAATTATTACAAGGATTCCATTTTTTTTCCTGACACTAAACACAAAAAAATTTTTAAGTCACTGAATTTTCTACCCATAAATGTCAAACAAGGTCATTTGTGAAATAAGCTTCTCTTTTTTTTAAGGTTTAAGGAATATTTGCATGTGCACAAGTTTGGTGTTTATTTTCAATCTGGTGATTTTGGCTTTTCCCTTATGTTATGGATGATGAATATTTAAATATATTAAATTCTTATATTTTGATGTGTTTAGTTAAACCCTCCTTTTTTGAATGGTTCTGGATTTTTTTCCCCTCCAGAACTTCTATTTGAACATTTTCCTTTCCTCTGCTCATTATACTAGTTTAGATATATTTAAATGAGATCTACTAACAAATGCTATACCAGAAACCCCAAGTTATTAATGGCTTTCAAGTGTTTACCTAATATGGGATCAACTATAATCATTCTGCAAGTCATCTGCAAAAATGTAAGCAGTATCTTTAGTAAAAGTATATTTTGTTAGTAGAGGGTGGTGGTGCACACCTGTAATCCCAGTGACTCAGGAGGCTGCAGCAGGGGGATCTCAAATTCTAGGCTGATCAGGGCAATTTATTGAGACTAAAAAAATTGCAAAATGAAATTTGACAGCAATTTAATTTTACCATGAATTTATAAGTGTCACTAAATTTAGTGCAACTAAATCTTTAATGAGTTCACCAACTCATTTTCACCAAAGTTCTTCAACTGAGTTCACACGTCTTCTAACTAATAAAATGACAAGTCAAATCCTCATTTCCTGGGTGGCTTTTCATCTTATGATGGCCATCGACCCATGAGGATCTTTCTGAGACTGACTCATGTGACTTCATCTACAACTATTTAGTTCTTCCAAATGGTCCTATTTTTATTGGAGATTATTTACTATGTCTGGAATCCCAATGCTTGATGTCTTTAATGAGAAAACATAATACAAAAAAAACTTCAGTGTTCAGCCAACACAAATTTATGTGATCAACAAAAGAATGTTTTCAGATCCTCGGCTTGATTGTTTTTGTTTCTGATGTGACAGATTTGCTGAACAAAGTTACAAATCCCTTCTTTCTCTCCACTCTTCATTACCCCCACCCAACACTCGCGCGCGCGCACACACACACACACACACACACACACGCACGCACACTCACAATAAGGTCCCATTTGACTGCTAACACAGTTCTAGGTTGCCAAGCTTTCCTGAGGGAAACTGACTCACACTAAGTACTCCTTTTTTTCTTGGTATACTTTAAGTCACAAGTAATATCACTGAAGTTTTCAAAGCTTACAATGTTCCCTAGGAGTATCACAGTTGAGCAGGTGAAAAAAAATATCTGGAAGTTTATTATTTTTCCACCAATATATTTGACACCACCTTTGGAGAGTGAACAAAAGGCATACTGTCAAGCGGATAGACCTGGACAAAATGTTACTGTTTGTTCCTCACAAGCACAGAGGTATATTTAAGCAAAGAAAGACATTCCATGCCTCTCCTGGGACTTCCTTCCTTCTGCTAAATTATACCAACATGTTCACACCACTGTGGTTCAGACTGTGCTGGAATTCAAACGGCAGACTCCTATTTGCCAATGCTTAAATACCACAAGCTATAAAAGTTCATATTAGAATTGAATTGGCTTTAAAATATCAGAGAACACATAGGGGAAAAAAATGTGTATACACAGGAAATTACAGTAGAAGATATGGAAATAAGGAATGTCCTTGTTGGACAGATTCTATACTTCTACAACAAAGCCTTAAAGTCTCCAGAAGTCACCTGGCTTTGGATCATGTTTCAGATCCAGGCTCACTGACATTCATGAAACTTTTGGCAAACCAGGGCCAAGTTTCGAGCAAGGCTTGGTTAAAATACCTCTTTCATGTGGAATCTGTGTGTGAAGCTCAGTGGTTTTGGCTAGCTTTCACCTTGAGTTTCACATTCAAACAATCCGAAGTTTCAAAGTCAAATCAAGGGGTAAAAAGAAATGGGGAGAAGTGGGGAGCAACAAAATAGGGCAAGTAAATGGCTTGCCTAAGAATGGGATATCTATCTACCATCTTGTGAAGGGTTTTACTCTGGAGCCCTTTCGTTTTGCAACTGAACTTGTACTGTAGCAAATCTGCGCACAGTACTGCTGGACCAAGCCTCCTCAGTACTAAAGGGGAAGATTATTCTTAACCCCTCAAAAACTCCAGGGAAGCAGTAGAGCACCGTGCTCAAAATAATTGGGGAATTTAAAATACTGACTATAAAGCAATGTGATGATTGATATGCTCCTTCTAATGAAGTGGGTTTGGGAAATTCAAAAAATTCTGAGCATCTTTAGAATTTTCTACCATGTGAATTTAAATTCCATGGATCATCATGCATTTTCTCCTAAGGGTGGTGGGCAGGACTGCTCCCATAGCAGACTCCATAGCTCCACCCCTTGAAGTCTGGCCCTGTAGCCACTTGTTTCCTTCCTTTCTTAGCAAGGTGCAGGGTACAGGTTGCAGACTGTGTCACCTCTGTGGAGCCACAGTATGGGACTTAGTCTCCTGATAGGATTAGACTCATTTGGTCCCTAGCCTCCAACAAAATATTCAGGGACATTTTGGCCAGGAAATGTCAAACTCAGTGTGTGGCTGAAAACTTTAAAAATGCCCTGTGCTTGGATAGGAAAGCAAAGGCTAGCAGTCAAGTATAGTAGTACACATGAGCTTTCTTTAATGAGAATATTTAAGAGATGTTTGAATGGACTAGTAAGTGCTACATTTTGCCCATTTTAGGGGGAAATATCTATCTATCTATTTATCATCTATCTAACTATCTATCTCTATCTATCTATCTCATATATGTCTTATCCCTCACACAGCAAAAGACTCTTTTGGCTGCAGAAGTTTTTTTATTGTTTGTTTTTTCCTCTTTTTATTTTTCTTGTTCTTCCTTTTCTTTGTTGTTATTCAAAGGATCATTATGTCTTTAAGTGCATGTTTTCTTTTCAAATGTGGTCTGTGATACCAATAAACATCTTTGGGAAAAAAAAAAATCTCTGAACTCCAAGAACTTCAGTGCTCATTTTTTAAAAAAAGCAACAGTTAGGCCCAAAGGCACATGGTAATTTTGAGGACTTGGTTCCATGTGCTGTCATCTGCAACTTGTTTTTTGACATCTGCCTGGAGGGGTGCAGCAAGTTGCCATAAAGTCTATGTAGTGAGAGAACTTTGCAGAAAACCCTTTCCTTTGAGTTGATACTTTTTATAGAAATAAAATCTAAGGCATAGCAGTGATCAGACGTAGCCAGTAGATTATTTGAATGAAATATTATCAAAGCATTAAATAAACAAACAAAAAAGTCTGTGGGGGGTGCTTTTTACTGAACATAATAAAAACAATAAAAGTAAACGCTACGTTTGAAGTTAAAGTCCACAGATCAAAGTACTTTGCAAAATGTCAAGTGCAAGCATAAGAGGGGGGAGAAGGGAAGCCCGGAAAACTATCTAAAATATTTCATTGTCACATTAGAGAAAATCCCAGCAAATGTACCTATCAAGCAGCTTCAGTAAGATTCAGCTTAGGTAAGGAATCCCAAAACTAAATCACTTAAATTATACCAGAAGTATACAAAACAAAACAAAACATCAACAACAACAACAAAAAAATCCCCCTTCCAAACCCCACTGTTTAATTCTGCACCAGCAATGAACAGCACCGTGATGAAAGAACATAACATACCTACCTCCTTGTCCTTAGAGAACAATTACTAACATATTTTCTTTATTCAGGTGGTTGCATTTTTTTTTTCTTTTTTGAAAGTGCCTTTAGAAGGTTAAAAATAAGAAAGCAGTCTAAACAACAAAATTACGATGTCTGAGAGGTCTTCTCACTGCCCTGGCAGCCAGTCTTAATTAGAGTTCTGACGCAGTGCTCAGCTACTGTATGGCAGGCCAGTATCATGGACAGCTTCGGGCAAAGTTTAAAATTACAGCCACAAAAACGCACCAGTGCTATTGCTGTCACCTGGAACACAGTGTTTACCTGGGAATCGTTCACGGCCTCCCTTTATTTTCACTATAAATAAGTTATTTTAAAAACATTACTCAAGAACATATCTGAAAACAAATAATGTCAGAATAAAAATCTTACCTACGGTCAGCTGGGTTTCACAGTTGCTCTAAACAGAGGAAGTAGGAGGCAGTGGCCTTTTACATGTAGAGGTTGTTTATTTAGCCCTTTTTAAAAGGTCTTGAACTCCCGAGGTTTAAGATTAAGTCCAATCCAAGTGTCTGCAGGGAAAAATGGGCAGAAGAGAAGGCAAATAAGAGAGGCGAAGAATCCCAGCTGCTGGGTGGTGCTACTGTTCTGAGAGCATTTGAGCTATTTTCAGCATTAACAGCAGCCGGAGTTGTCTGCAAAGTGATGGAAATGCTTTCCCCGAATCCAGTCGCCTCCCCCCCCCCGGGGGGGGAGGGAAAAAAAAAACACAAACCAGGAAACCCACAACAACTCAGTTCATTGTGCAAATATTCATTTAAATTTTGAGGAAAATTGCCAGCACTATTGAAAACGCACACAAAAACTTGAATTGGAAATCTTAAAGAAACACAGTGCCTCTCCATAACCCTCAAGTTTCCAAAATGATGTACCTGATCTGTTGAAAATAAGATGTTTGGGCTTATTGAGAAGGAAGACTTTTCTTCTGATATCTACTTGCTTACGTATGTGGGTCTCCGAACACTACGTCATGTAGAAATATCTGTTGTCAGCCTGGACTGAAGGCTGGGGACAAATGGTTTCTTTCCAGCACGCACCTAAATTTCCAGTTTCATCAACTATGCTATTTTTGAAAGCTACTGGGTTAAGCTGTTGACATTTCTTATCTGTTGGCAGGGACTGGGGACCATTCAGTGACATGATGCAGAGGGATGTCTATCCCCTGCTTCTGCCCCATAGGCCAATGAAGAAATCATTCAGATTGGGTCATTGGTGATGACTGGCAAACTTTGAACTTTCATTTTGTTTCTAGAATTAACGGCTAAGATCCAGAAGCTGCATTCATTCATTCATCAAACACTCATGGACCAAGCGCTTTGGAGCCCACTGTATGCCAGGCAATTCTGAGAATACCACGGTGGGCAGAATAAGCAGTATCATGGACAAGACTTCAGAGGCTTACAGCACACAACTAGGCAAGAATTAATAAACACAAAAGTTGTTGAATTTTTCAGCTCCCTTTTCACCAGATGAGTCTATTCAAATCACAGCAGCTTAAGGCTGAGATTTCTTTCCACCAAGACTAAAGGAAGGGATATGCATTGTCATTGCTTCATCGTGCCCTTTACTACTCCACTAAGAAGGAAAAGCGGCTACCCCACCAAGGGAACACATAAGAATTTTTGTAAAAGCCTTTACTTTATGTAGCTGAAATCCCTGAATCTTTTCCAATCCCTGCTTCCCATAACAAAGAAGATGCTTAAGCAGCCAGAAACCCTTGCCTTACTCAGCAGGTGCAAGAAGCGTCCCTAGTCTAAACCCAGTAAATGTCATAATTAATTTTACGAGGATTGATTACTTACTGATGCTCATACCAAATCCAGTTCTTCCCTTACCATCAAAGGCAGTGAGCTGATTACAGAAAACATTGACAACTATGCTGACGTGTAAAAACAGGAAAGCATGATTATTTCAAATACTATGTTAAAATAGTGAAATCCTTCAGCTCATTACATTTTTTTTTTTACTAAAACCAGGTGTATATTTCAATTCAAGAAAGAACCACAACTTAAGTTTGAAATATCTAATTAGAATTTTAAAATAAAATTGACTTTGCTTAAAAATACACATCAGGTTTTTTTTTTTAAATCACTGTAGGATAATGCATTTCTCTGTTTATTTATTTTAAACACTCACTTTACCATGTCTCAAATACTTATAGGTATGGATATTAATTTAGAATACTCATCTTACTTGTTGAATGGTAATTCTACTGGTAAAAATTGGAAGGCTAGCCTCAGGAGGACACATTTTTTTAAAAAAAATTGTGTATACTTTTTCCTCCTTATAATAGTTTATAATAAAAAGGAAAATCCTTTGAAAATTGATTTTCCTTGAGATAGATGTGATGAGAGAGATGTGGATGAGAATATCACAGTGTGCAGAATAACCAGTATCATGGATAAGGCTTCAAAGAAATATTAACTATTAGACACTAAGTCAATTATTATTTTAAATTCTGGACTGCTTGTTTTCCATGCCAATCCTAATGGAAGCCCATTGCCTCACTATGGCCTACGTAGTCACATTCTGTCAAAATCTTTCCTTGATGAACTGGTTGTGACCCTGCTAGCCACTTGTGCTCCTTGTTTAGGAAGACCTCTATCCTGCCCTGTGCCTCACTGACATCTCTTTGTTCCATGAGAATCCTAACGGTTCAAACATCCAGTCCATAGCACCTTCCAACAGAAGAGTGCAACTTTGCTTTTAATCATATTTTAAAAGGTTATAGGATGTAAGTTCTAACTTTTCTACTTATCCAACTGTTCTAACTTTTATTTTGCACAACATTGACATCTTAAGAATGATACTAATTATAGTAACGTTAATTATTTTGTTTATATTTTTCTTTCATTCTCTCTTTTTTAAAATAAATAAATTCATTTAAAATAATTGTAAAAGGATTATATTGGAGCGGGCTTTTTTATATTGGAGAAATAATAAAAAGGGCTTTGGTATACTCCCACTGCTGTATAAGATGGGGACAATAACAGCACTAATCCACTGAGCTGTGGCATGGCTTATATAAATTTTGCATACAAAATGCTTGAGAAATGCCTGAGATGTAGCAAGCATTTGGTAAAAGTCATGTTATTATCACTTAAGCCTGGAGCTTTGCTTTCCAATATGGCTGTAAATGGCTAATGAGTTCCTAAAATGTGGCTAGTCAGAACTGAAATGTTATATAGGTATAGAATGCACACTAGACTTTGAGATAATATAAAAATGTATATAAATAATAATTGACATATCACATTAATTTTTATATGGATTACTTGTTGAAGTGACAATATTTTGGACATATTGGGTTAAAAGAGACTATGTTAAGATCAATTTGATTGTTTTTCTTTTTAAATATGACTACTAGAACATTTAAACATTACATATTTGGCTCTCATTATATTTCTGTTGGATAGGGCCATCTAGATCAGTAGTTATCAAACTGTAGCATTAGTCACCTAGAAGGTTTGTAAACTCACAAGTTGCTCTGACCCACCTCCACAGTTTCTGATTAAGTAGGTTTTGGGGAGTGTCCTGAAATTTTGCATCTCTAACAAGTTCCCAGATAATAATTCTTTTTTTTTTTTAAAGAGTGAGAGAGAAAGAGGGAGAGATAGAGAGAATTTTAATATTTATTTTTTAGTATTTGGCAGACACAACATCTTTGTCTGTATGTGGTGCTGAGGATCGAACCCGGGCCGCACGCATGCCAGGCAAGCGCACTACGGCTTGAGCCACATCCCCAGCCCCCAGATAATAATTCTTGACCAAGTGGTCCATGGATTAAAGTTAATGTCATCACTTGAGGTCTTGTCAGAAAGTCAAAATCTCAGGCACCATCCAGACCTTCTGAACCACTATGTATGTTTAATAAAATACCAAGGCTCTGTGCATGCATATTAAAAGCTGAGAAAAAAATTGATATAAAGTAGTCTGTCTTCCTTGGGTGCAAAAAAAAAACTTATCTGAAAAATGCTAGTATGCTAGACCTGCTCCTAGAGTTTTATTTAATCAATCTGAAGGAGACGTAAGCATCTTATCTAAAATACTCCCAGGTGACCCCAATGTCTAAGTAAATAGTGAGAATTTGTGATACAAGACCCATCAGACCAGACGTTAAAGGGTCAAGAAACCAGTCACTCCTTCTAGTGAGGGGAAGATGTCCATGAACTTGGAACACATGACTCATGGAGATGGCAGAGAAGCAGGGAACCACACAGCAATGGACAAGGAATCAGTGGTTGGTAGGAGTTGGGCAGGAGACACTCCATGCTCTTGCAGGTATGATGGAGGTCCCAGCTCCTTTATTTCTGGAATTCAAAGGAAGGCTGGATAAAGCAGAGCACCTCCTCAATCTCAGAGGAACAAGGACACTAAGCAAATTATCTGGGCAGAGATGAAGGCTCTGGAGAAGATAAGAACCTACTTGTGAGAATCCTGGTGTAAGTCAAGAGTGGACCCAGGGGCCATGTGAGAGTGTTGCAAACTCTGTATGTCAGGATTAGTTTCAGAGGATAGATAGATCAGAAATAATCTTTTAGATGGAGAAGAGAGACAAAAAGGAATGAAAACATTGAAAGACAGTTTACTGTTCATTTCCTTCTCTCTTTCCCTAATGCACAATAAGAATGGAGACAATTCTAAGTATTGGTCTAATTTAAGCAATTTATGCTAAATTTACAGATCCCAAATCATCCTAGTGGGTATTTATACCCCAAGTGGGGATCTTGTTAACCCAAATAACTCTTCAATTAGAACTAGTGAGAAAGAGCCATGTTTTGCAGGAGAGAGACCTTATTTTCCATGCAAAATAAGTGAGCACATCAGCTTTGAGTTGAATACCTCATCAGTTTGTCATGTGACTCCTCACTTTACACAGGTGGTCCCAGAACACTGTGTGTTGAGGAGCGCTTCATAAAATGAAATCTACACTGGAAGAGAAAATCTGGGTTCGTGCTCTTAATATTTAAAACATTCAGGGCTGGTGTTGTAACTCAGTGGTAGAGCGCTTGCCTAGCATGTATGAGGCACTGAGTTCGATCCTCAGCACCACTAAAAATAAATAAATAAATAAATAAATAAATAAATAAATAAATAAATAAATAAAATCTAAATAAAAATTTCAACTCTGGGCTGGGCTGCAGTGGTAGAGCACATACCTAACATGCATGAGGCCCTGAGTTTAATCTCTGGCACCAAAACCAAAACTAAGCTGAATAAAATCCCAAAGGCTAAACTAAAACAACAATAACAGAAAAATGACCATCGATAACTTTATTTCTCACATTTTTGGTTGATTGTTTCAGAAAACTTTTAAAGAAGGATAATAGTTTAAAGCAGTGTGTATCCAGAGTGACTGAATCCTGGTCCTATCATTTATGTGTGATCTTGGACCAATTATCCTCCCTGAGCCTCAGTTTTCTCCTCTGTAATAGGACCACCTTATTGGGTTGTTGTGATGATTAAAATTGTTATTTGGAAAGAACATTAAAAAAATCTGGCATGTTCTAAG